CGGGAAGCGCGCCGGGCGATGAGGGGCAGCTGGAACTCAGCAACGTGGAGGGTTCTCAAAGCAGCGTGTAAGGGAGTGGCTACAGCAGTCGAAACGCGCATTTATGCCCACCTGGACGGATAGGTGACTGAACTCGAAGCAATCTACAAAGATCGCGACATGCGAGGACTGTACCAACACCTCAAGAGATCAGTGGGCCTCAGCGGGAGACAAGCGGGGGGACAGCAGTTCGTCGCGGATGAGAACGGCGTGTTGCTCCGGAACAGGGACGACATCCTCCAGCGGTGGGCGAGATTCTTCAGCACCCTACTCAACACCAAATCCCCCACCCTGAAACCAGGCATCATCGAACGAGTGCCGCAGCGGCCAGCGACATCTGACACTCAGCGGTTGGGAGATGTGCCAGAGATTGAGGAGGTGGCACGGGCAACGAAAGGCCTGAAGAACTGGAAGGCACCCGGCCATGACTCCCTCCCTGCCGAGTTGCTCAAGATCGACGACGACGAGCCCTTCGTCCTGAGACACCTCCATACCATCCTCGTCAAGGTGTGGAACGGAGGAGATATCCCACGAGAGTGGAAGGATGCAACCATCAAGGTGCTGTACAAGAAGGGTGACCGGTCCAACTGTAACAACTACAGGGGGATTTCGCTACTATCTCACGTAGGCAAGGTCCCCATCAAGATCATCACCAACCGTCTAAGCGCCTTCTGCGAAGCCAACAACATCCTCCCGGAGGAACAGTGCGGATTTCGACCCGGGCGATCCACCGTCGACATGCTGTTCGTCGTGCGCCGCCTCCAGGAGCTGGGGCGGAGAAAGAAAATACCGCTCTACATGTGCTTCGTCGACTTGAAGAAGGCGTATGATTCGGTGGACCGAGAGATGCTATGGAAGGTGCTGGCCAGGGCCGGGGTTCCCGCGAAGCTGATCGAAGTCATTCGCCAATTATACGATGGAATGCGGGCCAGGGTGCGCATGGACGATGGAGAATTATCGGACTGGTTCTTCGTGACACAGGGCGTGCGACAAGGATGTGTGCTATCCCCACTGCTGTTCAACATCTTCTTCGCCGAGGTCCTCGAGGTCGTTGTCATCCGATTCAGCGAGGATGATATTGTTTAGCGGAGCCTCGTGTGGTTGGAGGAAGGCAAGACGGAAGCGGGGGGGGAGGAGGAGACACTCCTTGACCGAGTACGGAGGGCAGTATG